AGCATTACAGAAACTACACTGTGGCCCTGGTTTTGCATAACCACAACAAACTGATCATCTCAAGGAGCTGCCAGAGTGCTCCAAGTGCCAAATTGATATAAATGCCCCAGGGGGACTCAGTTACCCCAAACTGTGCAATGCTACTGTGTCCTTCATAAAAACACCCACCAAGTGCCCTTTTAACATGCAAAACCAGAGTCAGGCTGAGAGTGAGCACTCAGGCTTTTATCTGACCAGCTGAATTGTCACCAAGATCAGCTCCAAGGCTCAGAAAGGGAGGCAGCACCTCTGTTTTCCCTCTCATTTGCTGAATTACAGATGATCACTGGACCGTGGCAGGATACTGAGGGAGGAGAAGCACAACATGCAGAGAAGCAGGTGAGGAGGCACCCTAAGTGGCTGTAATGGAATTCAAACGTGTCAGAGAGGCAGTGAAAGTCAGATAATTGCAGGAAGATCTGGGAAGAGGAGATGAAAGGAGTCTAAGCAAGGGGAAGAGGTAGGAGGGGGAAAAAGCAATGGAAAAAAATGAGAAAAATGAAGGAGAAGTATAAGGAATAGAAAATGTGAAGAAAAGGGCAAATTTCTTTTTCACCTCTTCCATCTCCTCCTGCACATCCGTCCAGTGCAGTGCTCCCTGTTAATCCTGGAACTGAGGGCTGCTCCCTCCTAGAAAAAGGTTGTGGGCTCCCCCATTCTGAAGCAGGACAAAAAGGGATAGCCTTTTTGCACATTTGTAACATCTCCCCTGTCTCTAGTGCTGAAGCACGAGGGTGCAGGGTTTGCAGGCAGCAGTGGCTTTTGCTGCAGGAGCAGTGCACAGGACTCGCACAGAGCAGCCACTTTCACCAACAGGTCCCAGGTGTGAAGCACCTGCAGATTTTCACAAGCCTCACAGAAAAGGAGCACAGACACAGTGACTCCCTTTCCACAGTAAATTATCATTAAAAGTGTTCAACAGAATATCACGAAGGAAAATTATTTCCTTGTCAAGTTTCTGATGTTTTCAGGAAGTGCAGCAAGCAGCTGAGCTTCTGTTCTAACATTTCCAGTGGATGAATTCTTCTCTGCACTGACAATAATGTTTGCATATCCCCACAGAATGCTCTGATACCTGCAGAGGCAGACATCCTTCCTGCAGAGCTGAATGGGTGGCTGCAACAAAATTAAGATTGGATAGGACAGGTGACCAAAAACTGGTCAAGAGATAAGAACACACCAATGAAAGCACATTTATAAAGATTTGACTCTCTGAACACACAGAGCTGGAAACATTTTTCATTGTATTTTCAAGGAGATGACCCATGTACTGGAACCTAATTGAATATTTCATTATTATCCTTCCCCTATCCCACATGAAGAAGTTATTTAAATATGTTAAGCGTATTTTTCTATTTTTTTTCAGTGTCAAACATCTGCAGACAACAGTATGTACCTTTTGCGGAATTAAGGCAAAAAATTAAGAAGACAACTGTCTTCTGAAATTAGTTAAGAACTACTTTATGGCTATTTGAGCTTCAAAAATGGACCTCAATGATCTGACCAGTCTTTCTGAGTTAATTATTGTGAAGAAGAAACATGCTCCTACCAGTTTCTTTTATTAGCAAAAAGATGCTGCCCTTCTTTTCTGATCTTTGCAGCACATGAATGGATTGATAGCATTATTTCAATAAATAATGTGTCTGGATCATTATCATTCTGGTCAGTGTCTTCTGAACATATCCAGGAAAAAATCCCAAGTATGCAAATTCAAGACACAGGTTATTAAAAAGACCAAACTAATGACTCACACTTTCATTACTCAAGCAAAATAGTATTTGCAGTACTGTCAAATGTGATAGTGGCAAATATGAAGCCTCCTGCCCTGCATTTACAGCAGGATGATAGTCCTAAAACATGCCAGTCAGCTCTCTGAAGAGTAATTGTTAGCTGAAGTGATCAGATCACGAAGTTCTTTAGAGGTTTGTACTATTCCAGGACATCACTGGTGAAAGTTTTTGATGGTACACTGACTTTTCTTAGAAGATTTGCTTATGCTCACAACAGAAAGGAACTCTAATGGCTTCTTCTTTGGTTTTTTTTTTTTTTTTTGCTTTTCTTCTCACTGAGCATTACAGACATGCCTGAGAGACTACAATTGTTTCAAAGCTGGATAAGGACTGGGATACAAGCAGAGGCAGCAGACAAATGACAATGGAAGTGAACCATTCAGCATTCTGATGAAGTTGAAAATTAGGACTGTTTACATAAGTCAGAACCTATTTGCATTTCCTGACATTTCAGGTCTCTTTATCCCTCAATTGAGAATTTCTTGTATAAGAGATTAATGAATTGAATAAAAAAATAATAAAAAAGCAAAGCATCCTGCCACATTAGTGGTGCCTTTAGTTTGGCCAGATTGTTTCCCTGCTCCTAACTCTGCTTCAAGAACAGATTTGGTGATATATACACCAGGATAAAGCTTTTAAAGAGTGTTCAAAACTGAATGTTTAGATACTTTACACAGGCCCAGCTGATTTTTTATACAGAGTACAGGCAGATTCAAATCTTGCATTTCTGAGTAAGCAGCATTCATAAACCATTTTATGAACATATTTTCAGAAAACCTTTAGAACTTGCACCCCTTGTTCATAATACCCCTAGTATTATGAAAAGGCTTTAATAGGTGTAATAGGCATGCAAATAACAGTTTCTAAATTACCTGGTTTCACAGTAGGCAGACCATATATTCAAATTATCCTGCCATTTAGATACTCTCTCAGATTTCAAAATGAAATAGAAGTTATCAGAGTCAGAACTACACACCTACTGACTACTGCTTTTAGCTATTCTAAACATACCTGGAATTACTTTAAGGACTGATATTTATCAGTGCCAGTAGTTACAACAGCAAGGACATCTCCCATTTCTTTCCTGCCCTGCCCAAGTCCCTGCTTTCCTGCAGGACAGGGGGAACAAATCTCACCAATTTCCTGTAAGTGCACAAGTCACAGAGACAAAATGTCTTTCACTGCCGGATAGGCTGGGACAGCTTTGGTGCCAATTCCTCCTCTCCATGACAGCAGAGAGGGAAGGTATTAAACCACCAGCAGTTTAGAGAGCCCAGGAGGCTGTAACACAACGTGAGGTGACTCTCAGACATGCACCAAGCTGGCTGTACCCCCACAGGACCTAAGTGCCTGAGCCTGCCCCAGACCCTGCAGGGATTTGCCCACCCATTCCCTTGTACCAGTGCTGCCCCTCACCCTCACAGCCAGGTCTCACAGAGCCTTGGAAGAGCCAAAACTTTTTAATTTTGATGTTCTAAAGCAAAGGAAGCCACTGTTCTTTTACAAATAAATCCATTTTTATATCAGTGCTGACTGCAACTTCAGGCAGAGATTTTACCAAGTTTTTCCCTGCAACATTGCAATGGAGAAAGAGCAATACCAGACTCATGAAGTTAAATTAAACAAAATGCCATAAAAAACTTAACTGCTGAGACAACATTAGATCAAAGCTGACCAAAGAAAAACACAGTCATAAGAGAAGTGATGGCATTAATTTAACAAGTTAATTCCAGAATACTACAACCCAAATAACAGGGAGAAGTCTCTCTATAAAATCCTCTCTCCAATTTCACTGGCCCTGTAACACACTGACAGTTTGGCAGAAAACACAGTAAAGATACTGTAACTCTACTAATTAACAGGACCTGTGTATAGGGAAGGCAATACATGGAAGCAAAAATACTAATGGAGCAACATGGAAACAGAAAATGGATTGTTCTGAGGCTTTCATAAACTGCAGCAGCATCAGCGGTCAAGGTGCTGAATGCAAGTCAGACTGCTCTGATTTAAATCTGCTCCTGTTGTTGTGGCCAGCAGGAAATGTGTCTCCAGATTCCCCCAAAGCCATGGAGGACAGGGCGCTGCTCACCCCCTCACCTCTGAACAACACTCAGGCACAACTGAAGTGCTACCGCAAAAAGCTTCAAACCAGCAGTGGAAATCTCATAAACAAACTTCAAAGTAAATATTTTACCAAGCATAAGTAAGTACTTATTAAGATTTAGATTTTATCTTCAGTGTCCTTGACATTTTACAATAGTGTTTATCTCCCTTGTTTGCTAATTCACAGAATTGGATAATCTACAAGAAATTTACACATTAGAAACGAGCAGGATTCTCGGGCACGACTTCATAAATAAGACATTAGCACAACAATACTCTAATATAAACATACACAATGCTAAGTAGGAGCAAAGCATTTCCTGAGAGCAGAGGAGGCCCCGTTTGCCACTGAGTGAGCTCTGGGTGAGAACCTGCAGGGACCCCAGGAGGGGAAAGGACCCAGCTTGTCCTTGGAGCAGGGCTCTGCACTGCCAGAACTCGCAGGGAAAGAGGCTGGGAATTAAGTCAGTGAATCAATGACCCCCAGTTACATCAGCCCAGCACTCTGCTCAGGGGAGGGGAGATGAGACAAGTTCAAAGCTAAACAGCTTTATGAAGACAGTGGGATTCTGTCTACAATGTGGACTCCTTTTTTTCCAATTAATTAAAAACACATGAGTAGTCTCTGCATTGTGACTATTAATGAAGTCCAACATGAAGCTTGTATTCCCAATTATTAGTACTCACATGGACAATGAAAATAAATCCCATTGTAATAAAAAATTCTATTTTTATCTGGTCACTAATGGGACATAAAAATCATACTGAGACATTATTTCATAGAGACACACAATGTTTCCAACAAAAACCTGTAAAAATTAAACTGGGATTTAAAGACTCCTCCATAATGTGAGGGAGTAGCTGTGACCACTTTTGGAGAAGGCACACACTGTAAGCAAATGAGGGCTTTTGTTACTCTGTGAAGGATGTCAGAGGCATTTGCTTCTTTTCCCTGACTCATCCTTTTCCTTAGCGGGCACTCTGACCCTTAGCCCTGGCAAATCCATCAGCACCACAAAGTTCTCCCTGGTACCTCATTAATCACTCCCCTGCCGTGCGCTATCTTACCTGCAGATGTAATTCTTCTTGCAGGACTCTTGCAAATTCAGGCAGTTTGGCTTCTCCCTGTCCTCATAGGAGCACACAGGAACAATGGTCTGGCGCCTCCTCTCAGTGCAGGCCACGTCCCGGCAGGAGCAGAAGAGCATCCCGTAGCTGTGCTTTGGGGGCACCTTGTCAAAGAACAGCCGCAGGGCCTTGTGGCACTTGCGCTTGTTACAGATCTCGTTGGACGTGCTGCTGGTGCAGGGGGTTATGTAAGCAGATCTGAACCTCTTGCAGGTGTCATTTAGGTTACAAGCTTTGGCTGCATCCAAGCAATTGTTCCCCTTTGAAAGTACTGGCTCCACTAGAAAAAACAACACAGCAGCGGTGAGAAAGGCGTCGCATTTACGCTTTGTGGTTATTTCACTGTTAACGAGACCCTGAATACATTTATTTGTTCCATACAAAGCTTTCAGTGCCAGGAACTGGGACCAGTCCTTCTGTTTCTCGGGGTAATGGTTGAACAAGTGAACAAGAGCATGGGCATGCTGTGAGGGCAGTGAATATGCTGGTGAATAAATGACACTCTGGGCAGGGTGTACTTCATGTTCCTTGCAGCAGACATGCAGGGTGAGGACTGGGTACTCACTAAACAGCTCTCTTTCTCTAAAAGCATACATCTGGCATAAGAACACAGCGAGAACATGGGCTTCTAACTCTGGTTTTGTAAAGCTCTGACATTTCCCAGTTCTTTCCCTTGAACAAGTTAAATGACATGCTGTGACTACCCCAGGTGACAACATTTAAAATTAATCTGTGTATAGTGCAGAAAGTAAAGTAGACATGCCCAGTACAATATTTTTTGAGGTCTGAGGACAGCCCACCCAGATAGGAAGGAAATCAGGTGCAGCCTCATGTCTGGGAGCTCTCTAAGGCCACCCACAAGTTCCATACTTAGGTAAAAAACATGGTTATAAGATCTATAAATGCCACCTGAACCCTGGAAAACTTATGAACTTTAGAAGGTTTGAAGAAGCTGACATAAAAGTACAAAGTGACTGTGAAAGAAAACATTTTAAAACAAGGATGTCCCTCCTTTCTCTCACACACACACACACATTACAAGAAATTATAGTAAAAATTAAACTCAGATATAAGTTAAGGCTATAATTACACATTTAATTTCTCAATACATTACCCAGATATTAAAACCCAATAGATGGTTTGCTTGAAAACTAACGCAACTGGCATCAGATTGCAAAATTCAATTAAGAATAATTGTAATGCTGCTTTGGATGTTAGGAATGCCAACATCAGAGATCCAAGAAAATACATTAATTTCCCACTGCTACAGAATTTGCAAGCTGAACAAAACATTTTGCAAATATCTGAAATCTGCTGTAACCTCTTGGGGGGACTGGCCGAAGATAAAACATTTTAAATGATCCAAAGCTCTAAATTGGTCTTACAGAAAGCTTTTTTCCCCCTAGATCTTTCACCTTTACCCAGAAACTCAGTCCAAGGTCCTTCTACAACTCACTGCCACTCATCTTTTTCTCTTTTTCCTCAGCAGGAAAACACGGAGCAGCTTGGCTGAGATGCTGCACTGAGGTGCTGCATTTGTTGGAACACACTGTGCCCAAGATGGGCCTTGGCTGCTTGCACATGCTTCCCATTATTCAAACAGATCACCTGCAACTGTCCCATGCATCTTACCTACCCAAAAATAACACAAAGCTAAGGAGCATTAGATTTGTGTTTCACTCTAGCAGCATGCTGTAACTGTGTTCAGCATGTTTGTACATTTAACTTTTGTAATTTAACAATCACACTCCAAGTCCTTCTCAATCTCAGCTGCTTGCATAACAAAATGGCAACTTTTGCATCTTATCTTCATAAATTACAAAACTGTAAATATGCAACATTTGACTATAAATTAAGAGCCCAGCATTTCTTATAATAGCAGCCTACAACAGATTATGCAACACCAGATGCAGAAGAGAAGAGACACCCAAACCACAACCCTCTCATAAAATTGTAACGTTTTTATATAAAATGTTGTACTACATTAGCATACAACTATAATATTAACTATGAACTCTCAAAGTTTTTTTTATACAGTATATAGAATTATATGTTTAGTACAAATATAATTACTCTGTAATCTGCAGGGCATATAATTATACAATATATGAATAGTATATGCTAATTACTATGTGATTGCAGAGTAATTACATGGTTATTTGTGCCTGGGAGTCAACTGCTGAATTCCACTATTTAAAACAAAATTCTGTGGAACAGCTCTGAATGGGGTACTGCAATATGAACAGACTTCAGCTTACAGTACTCATATATGCTGCTACAGAATGAAAAAGCACTGTGAATACAAGCATGTCAAAAATCAGAAGGGACAGGTTAATCAATCTTTTTTAAACGCAGAACATAAGCCAAGTCACTGACAGTGCAAACAGCAGTGAGAGTTATCTTGGGTGAAAGTTGAATTAGGTGCAAAGTCTTCACAAACTATAGTTATGCATATTCATACCTGTCATTCAATTTATATCTGCCCAACACTCACATTCCCCTACACATCAGCTCTGAATACAGACTGGTTTGGGGGTTTTTGTTTTTTAAAACCAGCCCTGGCTGTAAAGTGCCCCTTGCCTTTTCTGTTTTGATACATATGTCTCTAACTATTGTTTCTGGCATACTTGTAACATTATACAAATTATTTTTATCTTTTAATAAAGCAAGACTAAATGTAGAAGAGGTGCATCAACTGCATCTGAATTAAACCAGATTGTCTAAACCAACTCTTCTCATTAATACCAACTTCTCTTAAGCTTTTAAATCACACTTGAAGGCAAAACTGACAGTCTACAACACATTTAATGCTTTATTTCTATTGCAAAAGTGTAGAATTGTTCCCAAGTCCTGGGGTAACTACAAACAGTTAACAATACTGGGAGTGTTCCTGAGGATTACTTATGCAGCAGTAATTTATAAGGTCAAAATTTCACCCAGCTTCTGTTCTGCAAAGCTTAAATTATTAAGACAGGCAGGAGTTTGGCTCTTACCAGGTACTGACTACTTTAAAAGCAAATGGATCTTATCCAGAGCTACTTTCCATGCCAGAATCCTTTGAGAAAGGTTTGTGTAAGGAGATTCTTTTCCAGTTCTCCCCTCTCTTGGGGCATTAGGATATGGATTGGGGGCAGTCAGGGCAGGGGCCTGCGACAAGTCAAGATTTCTCTTCACCGGCATTTCCCAACCCAGAGCTTCCTCTCTTCCAAACCCACTTTGCCTGGGCCCATTCTGGAAATCTCTGCCAAACCACAGAGCCCTCCACTCGTGCCAAATCAGCAGAGAACCCGTGGGCAGTCACTTCACACGGGGATAAGTGGTGCCTGCCGGCTGTGAGCGAGGCGCTGGGTCCTGTCTGCAGCACGGGGCCCAGGACAGCTGAGCTGAGCTGGGCTGGAAGCACCAGGATGCTGCCCCAGCCAGCAGGAGCCTCCATCAGCAGCTGGGGATGCTGCCCTGACGGGGGCAGGCAGAAGGATGGCAGAGCCCAGGCAGAGGCAGGAGCTGAGCCTTGGTGGGACAGCAGCAGCAGCGTTGGGATGCCCAAACCCCGTGTCCCAGTAGGTGGCTGCTGCACAGCTCACACAAACTGGGGCAGGACCAGTGGGCACTGACACTGACTCACCTTCACCTGCGCCCCCAGCGCTTCTACTGCACATGGAACACATGTGACACCTTTTCTGACCAATTCTACTGGTGAAAAGCAGGCCTTGGACTACAGTGCAACCACTTTGATGTTTGTCACCTCCTGCATCACTCCACCCTGGCCCAACGCTGCTACAGCTGCAGCAGTCCTGGACTCCATCTCCCACACACCACAGAAAGAAGAGAGCCAAAAGGCCCTGTCTTTTATCCAGAGGTGCTCCTAAAGTCTTATCAGTCTTATCAAGTTTGATCTTCCTCATGTTTCACCCTCTTTCACAGCCTCTCCACCTTCATCTTTCATTTTCTTTGTACCTCCATTTCTATTTCATTTCTACCTCCTGTGTAGGTTCTTTGTACCTCCACTTCTATTTCATTTCTACCTCAACTCCTGTTAACCCACCCCATGGTACTCAAAAAAGGATTCTCAAAGGGTACTGGGAGATTCTTATTTGTGCTCCCATCAGACAGAAGGAGTACAAGGAATATTAGTTGTTCTGTAAGACTCTTATTAAGCAGCAAAATGGACATTTAGTTTTCAATTTTCTTACAGCATATAAAAAACAATTTACTGAGGTTGTCATTAAAATTACCATTACTATTTGCAAGTAATTAGCATTAGTAGGTTTTCTAGTGGATATAGTGAAGGGAATGCTGTAAAGAGAGCAATAAATGCTAATGTGATGGAAGGCAAAATTACAAAGTGATAGAGGTGACCACAGGGGTATGGGCCCACTCCAACACAGGTGCAGAATATGGCATACAGGAACCAAAACCTGACCAAAATTAAGAAGAGGGCCATGATCCCACTTAAACAAAAATACTGCCGTGGGGTCCACCAAAGTACTTTTGCTTTGTAAGAAGAGCAGATTAAAAAGTAAGGAAAGCATAGGAAATATTGTTATCTGGATTAAAATAAACTACCGTTTTCCTCTACAAATTATTCTAATGCCAAACAGAAGAAAAAAAAAATAGTCATCCCCAAAAAAATCCTGAGAACGACAGTGTTATTCTGAAGTTCTACTTCTCTTCTGCTCAGCATTTACTACACAGCTGGCCTATTTCAAACCTTTTCCATAATCTTAATAAGCAGGTGACTTAGTTTTTAAATTAAAGCTAATATATCATCAGCTATGACCAGAGCTTTCAGAATACTACCACTAGGTGACAAAGATGAGACTGATGCCTGTGAAAGGTACAAAGCTACAGCAGCAGAAATATCTAAACAAACCTGCCTAAAATGAGACTTCAGCTTCCTAAGACCAAAGCTGGAATATTTTATATTCCTGGTTAGTCATTAAGTCTTTGACCATACAAATTGCATAGGTCTCTAGAATTCTCTTCTGAATACCCCCATAAACTTACTGGAGGAGGTAAATAGTGTCTCCTGTCCAAGCCATTTAGAGATCAGGAACAATCACGTCGCTTAGCATGAACCAACAGGCATGATTTGGAAGTGTTCATCTACCTAAGTGTTCATCATGTTATGTTTGGAAGTGTTCAGCTACTGTGTTATGCACAACTGCTGTGTCTGAAGTCTTTCCCAACACACCCTGGCCTTTGTTTCTGTGAGACTCCGCTGGTGAATCATCAGCTGGGATCTTGCAGACTTTGGTTCAGTGCCTTCCGTGGCATGAG